TACTTATCCATCCATCCACAATCTACTTATCCATCCATCCATCCATCCATCCATCCATCCTTCACCCATCCATCCATCTATGCATCATTCACTCATCCATTGATCCATCCATCTACTTATCCATCCATAATTTACCCATCCATTCACCCATTCGCTCATCCGTCCGCTTATCCATCCATTCACCTATCCATCCACATGTTTATCCACTCGCTGATTTCACTCACCCATCTCTTCACCCACCCACCCATCCCATTCATCACCCATCCCTTATTCATTTATACACTCAATACTTTCTGGTGCCTCCTGTGTGCCAGGTTCTCCTTCCTGGTCTGTTTCTGGCAAACATTAGCTCTTCTTTTTCTTTACTATAGATCTTACAAAACATAGTGATATGGGTGTTCCCTGAGATGTGGTCACCCCTCCCCCTGTGGTGTGGAGTCATTTTAGGAGGCATATGAGTGGCTCCTGGAGACTGTAGCATAATGTGTGTGGGGTGTCCACATCTCTGAGCCTCCCGGTGCCCATGCAAAATAACAGTACTGGCTGGGGTTTATCAGGTGTTTTTGACAACACTGGCTTCTCTTCACCCACTACGGACAGTTTCAAGCCAGTCATCACCACTCACCTGAATTTCCTCAGCTCCCTCTTTCTGGCTTCCTGTCCTACTGAATTTCCACCTGACAGCTTGTGTGGACCTCAATGTGACCACAGAGGTGACAGTCAGATCCCATTCTGTTCTTCTGTGGCCATGACCATCGTGTCCAGTTCTCATGGTGGACCAGAAGCCCTGCCCTATTTGGCTTTGGCCACCTGCTCCACCCCATCCCCACCCTCTGCTTCTAGATCCATCCCACCCCTGATACTCCAGGGATTCTGTGAGAGGGCTATGCCCCAGGCTGCCTTAGTGTGAGGAGCCTGGACCCTCCCACCAAAGGGTTTCTACCCCAGGCTTCAGAGGGTCCACAGGGGGGAGAGGGATTCCTGTGATGCTGCCCCAGGGTGGGTCCTCGCTGGGCACCTCATAAGACCAAGAAAGTGCTCCTAGAAGGGTGTCCTTGGCTGTATTTGCTAGGTCCCTGGGAGTTCACAGTGGGCTGAGGCTTTCAAGCAGGAAAAACACCAGCACTAGGGAGTGCCGGAGCTCGCCGCTGGTCAGGGGAGACTCCTTGGTCCAGGTGGGGTGTGAATTTTGAGGCCTCACTGACAGTGACCTACAAGGAGAATGTCTTCTCTAAAAGGCCTGGCTAGGGGCTGGGGAGATGGCTCAGTGGAATAAGGGCTTCCCCGCCAAGAGCAAGGGCCTGAGTTCAATCCCTGGTTCCGCCAAAAAATAAATAAATAAATAAGTAAAATAAAATAAATAAAAGTCCTGGCTGGCTTTACCAGCATTTTGCCGGTCAAGCGCTTATCCTACTGAGCCATCTCCCCGGCCCCCTTTACCAGCATTTTGGCATTGAGAATATCTTTAACTTTATGTAGTGATAGTGATTATCGGTGGTGGTTTTAAAATGGTGCCTCTACGTGCCCACATGGACATACTCGCAGCCAAAGGTCGCTCTCCAAAAGGTGTTTGGAACTGAATTTCAGTACTAAGGGCTGCCCAGATAGCTCAGTGGACTAAGGCTCCTGCTTAGGCAGGGCACAGCGGCCGGGGTTCAATTCCCAGTGTGCTGTGCCGGCCCCACCCCTGGTGATTGAGACTGGGCCTGGTGGTTGTGCGCCTGTAAATCTCAGCTCTTGGGAGGCTGAACACAGGTGGATCACTACAAGTCTGATCTATGTAGTGAGACCCTGTAGACCCTGTACTAAATAAAAAAAAAAAAATTAAGTAGAGTTGAATTTCAGTTCTATGAATCCAAAATACTTAACTGTTGGGTTGTGGGCCCAGCAGTTGGACTGCAGTGTCATGGAAGAGGTTGTGAAGAAAATGTGACCTCAGCCCATTCTGACACAGATGCAGGGTCACATAACACTCCTCTACAGGCACAAGGATATATGCGCCCGTGCAGACGCGCAGCACAGGAAGTATTTGCGAAGCCGCTGGTATGTACCCAAATCATGAAAACACATGAATACTCAGAAGGAGCCCACGCACACAGCTGCATGAGCACACCCACGGCGTATACACAGATGCAAGCACATGCACAAGTATGTGGGACACAAACACATGGAAACACACAGACATATGCACATAAGAATGCACACATATGCATACACTACACAAAGCACCTGAGAGTGTGCACACATGTATACATGTGTAAACACACATGCAAATACATGTGCACAGACACAAGTGCACACACACAAGCACAGAGACAGAATCCCAGGAACACCTAGAACGGCTCATGCGTCTGGCATCAAAGGAACTGGACAAGTCGGAGTCAGTCAGTCCCCAGTTTGCAGCAGCAACCAACCACGGACTTACCTTTGGGGACAGCCTCTCAGCCCCTCGATTTCCGGGGCCAGGAGCCAAGAAGACTGCAGCGGACTGAGGAGCCCGTTGTGTATGCAAATTTATTTAAACAAACATTCGACCGCAGTCCTCTGTGAATTTGTGTACATTCGGTTTTTTTAAAAAATGGTTTCCATAAAAGGATTTTTGGTAATCACCTAGTTTTTAATACAATATTTATATACAAAACCCTCATTTGAAACTATTTAATGTACAAGAAAAAAATGGAAGCATCCGACTGCATGATTTTAGCAAATAAGGGAAATCGATGACACCCATAGGCTTCGGTCACAGTGGACCGATTACAGGAATGTCAACATCATACCCATGACAAGTTCAAGGCAAATACATTTAATAGTTTTCTCCTTGGCTTCGGTGAAGCATCTTTTTACGTTTCTCTTGATGCTTGAGAAATTTCTGTTAATTGGTTAGTATGCCTGTTGCAATTTAGATCGCTTGCATTATTTATGAGACTTGCTCTTACAAGCTTGTAAAATGATAATTATCCAATAGTGACATTCCTATGAGTAAAAATATAGAGAAGTGTTACCAAAATAGAAGACTTTTATTAATAAAAATCTTTGGTAGTAACAGTATTTTAAATTCCTCTCAATGATATTTGGTTAACTAATAAAATAAACTCCTTCCACCTCAAGCTACAAGAAAAAAAATCCTCAAATCCACCCCATCATTGAGTTTTAAAAAAAAAACCAAACAAACCAATAAATATTCTAACTCTTTGAGTAAACCATAGAAGCCTCAGGAACTGGCGAAACCTTTAAGCCTTCCTTAGAAACGCCGCCTGGGCAAGAGGCCCTGGCCTGCTTCCTGTCACCCTGGTTTTATTCTACAGGACCTCGGATGATCTATTCCAGCACAGCGTCACGGGTGCACGAGTGGCGGGAACACAAGGGCACTGGTCACAGCTAGTTAGGAATGACTGCACCCCTTAATTTCTGTATTCTGTGTGGACAGGGAAGGCCACGGCACTGCTCTCCTGGCCAGAAGGGCGCTCAGTTTTGAACTTTCTTTCAGAAGGAAAAGATGCTTAAAAGTCCTCTAGTGTTTTGGACCTCAAGGCAGGCAATGCCTTTCAGAACCTGAATCCACACGGCTTATTCCTCTCAGTTTCTCAGTTTTCTCTGCCACTGTACCAGCTTTTGCCCAATGCCTCTGAACACCATTTTGCATCTACCAGAAGGCATCAGTTACAGGACAGAGGATGATGTCAAGGGCCACCGTGCTCTTCCCCTGGCAAAGGAGGCTCCATGCTTCCACTCACTGCTCTGCAAAGCACCAGCCCTCGGCGCGTGCAGATAAAAAAATTACCTTACCTACAGATAAAAAAATTCCCTGCATAATGGTTTTGTGCAAAAACAAGGAAAAATACACAAAGAAGAGAGAAAAACGTTGTCCTATCAGAAAGTGGTCCTCCATGTTTGTAAAAAACACAGGGGCCACCGGGCCCTGGTGGGGGTGAGCATGCCCGCCTGCAAGAGGGCGGCTGTCGGTGGGGAAGCCCGCTGGCCTGCCCAGCATGCTGGCGCGGCTACAGTGCACCCCCGTGGTATGCGTGGCTAGGGGCTGGGCCGCTGCTGCCACAGCTGTCCGAGCGGGCTTTGGGGTTGTGGTTGTTGCATGGCTCCTCTTGACCACGCTCCTTCTCCATCCACGTGTCTAGCAGCTGCTGCTTGCCCTGCTCCTCTCTCATGAACAGCTCCACCATGAGCACCTTCTCCTTGTGGATCTGCTGGCTGATGTCTTTGGGGATGTCAGGGATGACCCAGTCCACAAAGTCACTCATGAACATGACCAGGTTCTGCAAAGGCAGTCAGCGTGTGAGGGGGGAGGGATGCACCTGAGGAAGGGCTCGCGATCTGTCTCCTGCCCCGTGTACCTGGAGACTGTGCACCTGTCTCACCTGTGTATCTGCCCCCACCTGTGCACCCGTCCCACCTAGCAGAGCCACCTTATATCACTCCCAGCCCTCTATACACTTTCTGACCTCTCTGGGCCTTGGGCTTCCAGAAGGGGTAAGTAGAGTGAGCTAGCAGGGATAGGTGCTGGCTTTCTTGAATTAATTTGAACTTAGCAAATAGGAGGAAATTTCTCTGAGTAGTTCTGAGTTCCTGCACAAGGAGGCTTGGGAAGTGCTAGGATGGGTCACTGCCTTCAGGTCACATGCTGTCAAATACACAAAGGAGGACTGAGGGTTTCAGGAAAGTTATTAACTGAGCCACAGCCCCCAACTGGCTGGAGTGTCAGTGGTACCTCCTGCGTGGGTCATCCTACAACCTGCATGGCCCACAGGGAGTTCTGTACATTTATCATCTTGGTGGGCATGTTTCTGTGGAACAGAGTGCAAGATAAAGTGGCCCTATATACCCATGTCATATTGTTGGCAAAACTACTGTGCAGGGAGCGTGTGTTAGAACCTCCAGATGTTACAGCTGTTGGGGGTGATGCTAGTGGCCCCTGGAGCCACCCCTCTTCTACTGGGTGCTCCCAGCTCCCCATGTGGCTGGCATGAGTAGCTGAACCCACAGCTAGGGAGCTCACATCCCCAAGGCCCCCCTTCCTGCCTCTACAGTGCCCAGCCAATCTAGGCAGACAAAGGCACTGCCTTGGGTGCTGGTGGCCCAAGGCTGGTCCATTGCTTCCCTGGGGCTCAGCAGAAGCACTTGCCAGCCAGACCTCTCTCCGTTCAGCTCCTTTATGCCTGTTCTTCCTTTCCCCAGGAGGCTTTGCTCCACATCTCAAATGCATAAGAACCCCCACCGCAGGTCTCCAGCTGCTGTGGTAGGCTGACAGGTGCACTGCTGCTCTCGAGAGTGGAAGGGCCGGCTGAGGCAGCCTGGGTGCAGGGGGCCCATCTGGGGAGATCCCACACTGGCGCGCCTGGACTCTGAGCTCTTGGCCTCTCTTTCTAGGTGGGGGCTCCCTTGTTGCAGTGTCACGGCCCCAGGTGGCCTCCCTCACACTGTAGCCTCTGGTGAACCTGCTGCTGCCTGACCTTGGGTCTTGTTCACTGGAGGCCACTGGCCTCAAGAAATTGGCCCCAACCTCATCCTCAGAGATGGCCAGGTCCTCTGAATGCTGCTTGGGGGCTGGAGCCATCAGACGCCCACTGCCTCCTGTCGGAAGCACCCCGACTTCCACCCAGAGAGAGAGAGGGAGACCAAGTCAGGACACAGCAGTGTCTCCTCATTTTCCATGTCTCTTTCAATAAAGACCTCATACCCTGACAGCTCTCTTGCCTCCCATCAGCCCCCTTTCCTTTCCCTGTTCCCATGAGGCTCTCCTCGGCTTATCACAGCTCTGGGCTTGGGCTGTCCAAGGGGCGTCCTGGAACTTGGCCCCCAGGGCTCTCCAGGGTCTCCGAGCCCCAGATGCCAGTGGCTCCTGACAGTACGCATGGACTGCTTCCTAAGCTTAATCTCCAAACCTTTGGGGAAACAAAGAGGGTGCCGGGGAAACATACCTGGAAGACAATGACAAATGCCAGGCGAGCTGCCAGGACAGCCCAGAAGTCCTTGGAGATGTCGTATTTATGCTCAGACCACGGGGGCTCACGGTAATCTTTGTACCTGCAGAAGAGGGTGGGGGATCAGGGGGACAGAGCTCATGTGAGTGCCGGGTGGCTGGAGAGACAGGGAGCCTGGTCCAGCACTGCGGCCCACTCTGGGGTCTGCCCACACAGGAGAGTGGTCAAGGCCCAAGTGGCCCCATGGGAAACACGGTGCCCAGGAGATGTCGCTGTGGGCCCAGCCATGGGCTCCCCAGAGCAGCAGCAGGCCTTTCTGGTCTCGGAGGTTCCGGACTTAAAAGTCGTGCAGCCTTATTCCAAGGGACTCTAAGCTGAAGTCAGAGAAGATGGGGCTCCCGGGATGAGGTGGGGCTCTCTCAGCCTGAGCCCCTCCCCACTAACTAGCCTGGCTGGATCCCCCTACCAAACCCTAGGCTTCTAGAATAGTTTGAAAACTTCCATCTTTTCGGGGACACTGTCCCAGGACTGTCTGGGGTGGATGCACCTGGATGCCTGCAGGGCTGTGCTCAGCTCTGCGCCTGTACTCCACCTCCTGCAGCCTGCACCTAAGGCAGTGCACCCCAATTCCAGGACCTCTCCTCCTGGACTCGAACCAGACCCCCTTGTCCAGGACATGCTCCCTTTCATTTCAGGCTGGCCCAGCTAGGGAGACTGCGAGAGGAGGCGGCTGCTTTGGGGCTCACCACCTTCGTTCCAGAACCGCACAGATAACCACCTGCTGTGTGTCCTGAGCAACTGCTCAGCCTCTCTGGGCCTCGGTCTGGACATTCCTTCATGTGATAGGGCTTCACTGAGGAGCCACTACATGCCAGGCCCCGTTTCAGGGGAGGAGACTGGGGAGCACAACAGATAGGACCCTTCACCCAGTCTTGTTTCTGCTCAGCTCTGAACCCCTAGCGCTGAGATAGGAACACATGTTGGTGCAGGTGCAGCGCCAGGCAGAAGCTACACAGCCTGTTCTCTGACGGGCACAGGCAGCCCCTACATCCCTGTTCTTCCCTTTTTCCTCAGTGCTCTAGGCCAGCTCCATTGGCATGCTGGGAAATGTGTTTGGGTTACCTGGCAAACTCCTGGGCATCCCTCAAAGTCCACTGCTAGCTGTGGTCAGATGCCACTGATGCCGACCTTTCTCAGAGATGTTTTTCTTTCTTCCTTTGTCTGCCTTTCCTAATCAGCCCGCTGGCTTTCCCAAGGGAGAATGCGCTATCCTCTCTGGGGGTGGGTGGCGGACTGGATGTGGCAATGCTGGTTCTAGTGGAGGAATAAAAAGTAACCAGCCACGATCTTGGCTTTCAACTCCTTGAACACTGCTGGGGCCACTCCCCAGCTGGGCTTAGTTCTGTGTCTTCTGCCAGCGCTGCCTTTGGGAGGTGGCCCGATGAGGGTGTGGCCAGCGCGGGCAGAAAGCTCAGTACCTAGCACAAGAGCCTGGAGTCCAGGAAGGCCTGGCAAGCAGAGTGGGGGGCCCACAGCCCCTGTCTGCATGGGGGTCAAAGCCACAGGACACTTAAATGTGAGGTCTCAGCCTTGGGTCCTTGCCTTCTGCCTGCAAGATGTGGGTCCTTTCACTGGCTGGCTGAGTCCAAATGATAACATTCAAAGACCTCGGGAGTCTTTTAGAAAAATGAGACATACAACTCCCTATCCTTTTTTTCTTTGTTTTGGAGGGACCGGAGATTGAACTCAGACCCTTGCGCTTGCCAGGCAAGTGCTTATTCTACGGAGCCATCTCCCCAGCCCCACCCTTCTTTTCTTAGTCCTACTTCTAAATTCTAGCTTCAGCAAAACATGTAACACTTGAGTGCATTCTTGGCATGGAAAGTGTGAAGATGCCAAGGTGTGTCGTCTGCCGAGGACAGCGGTGACACTGTGCAGCCAGCTCCTGGGAATCGAGGAGGGAATCCCAGAGCCTTCCCTGACGAAGTCTCCTCCCAGAGGCCACCAGTGGAGAGGTGGCTTGAGGCTTTCTGAGCCCTTCCTATAAGCAACATACCCGTATGTATAGATGGGTCTCTAACTTCACCATGGTTCACCTAAGATTTTATGTGAGTGTGGTACCAGGGATTGAACCGAGGGTCTTCATGCTGAGCAACATCCCGAGCACTTTAATTTTTGTTTTGAGCCAGGATCTTGGTAATTTGCTAAATTACTCAAACCCCACCAAGCCCAGCTCACTTAGGACTTTTTGACTTTCCAACAGCATGAAGGCTGTGCATAGTAGCGTAGCCACTCTGCTTGGGTTTCTGAATTTGATCTTCCCCCAAGCTTGCACTATGTAGTCTGAACTCCTTCTCGATACTGACTGGGGACAGCTGTGTCAGCCTCACCATCAAGCTCAGCACTACAGGGCCAGGATGTGCAAAGAGGCCAGGAGCATTCAGGGTATTTCCACTTGAATGGGTGCTTCACTTATGTGGGTTTATCTTCAGATTTATGGACCAATTCTAGCAGAAGCAGGGGAGCTGGAGGGAGAATTCTAAGCTGGAGGTGGGGTTGGGCTGTGTCTTGTGTCACCACCCGACTTCGAACAGGCAGACCTGACTCCACCTTGTCCTGTATGGGGCGCAGGTAGGTGCTGTCCCCGCCCTGACACAGAGCACACAACACGATGTTTCACTTTTCTTCTTCACGCTGCTGCTTTAAGCCTTTTACTGCCCACAGTGCCCTGAACCCTGGTGGCTTCTTCCCTTTCCTGTGGGTCAGGGCTAAGAGCTGAGGAAGCCAACACAAGAGGACGGGGAGAGGTGGCAGCCAGAGCAGAGCTGGGGGAGGAGGAGGGAGTCTCCAGGCCTGGATGTGCACACTGGGGTTTAGGTCTTTGGTGCTGCGAGTCTCTGCTGGGTTGCAGACTGTACTGTCTGCAGGAGCGGCCACCCCTAGCTACCCCAGAGCCAGGCTCCCATGGCGGGACAGTCCTCCTACCCTGGCCATGGGACATCACCTCTGCCTGCTCCATCCTCTTGCCCATGAGCTGCCCTTCACATCCTGATCCGGAAGCTAAACCAGTCCACATGACTACCGTGACCCTCACTGCTCCGGTGAGGCTGCTCACCTCCCATGTTTTCTATTCCTACTGTTCACCTGGTCTCCCCCTCCTGCTCCTGTAACTGATTTGTTTATACATCCGTGTTTGCCACGGCTTGGAGGTGCCCTGATGGGTGGGGTCAGGCCACCCCACCAAGTCCCCAGCCCCTGAGCCAGGCCTGTGGGAGATGGGCAGTGGGTGGCCCAGCCCGGGTTCTACACAAGCTCCCTGCAAGCCCTCAGCCTCTGGTCAGCGGAGCAGTAAAGTTGCCTGACTCATGACCCAGCCTGGTTGATAAGAGCTCCTCAACCCCTGGTGAGGGCAACTGGTTCTGGGACAGGCATATAACCCAGGACAGACTGTCGAGGGCTGACCATGGGGAAGGAGAAGAGCTTCCTCTGGGGCTGCAGAGCAGAGAGAGTATAAGGCAAGGACTGTCGGAAGGTCCTTTCTGCATGCCAGAAAATAATGCTGACACTGAGGAAAGCAATTGTGAGAGGTGGGCTGGGGAGACGGCTCAGTGGAATAAGCGCTTCCCTGGCAAGTGCAAGGGCCTGAGTTCAATCCCCAGTTCCAAAAAAAAAAAAAAAAAAAAAAAAAAAGCAAATGTGAGAGGCTAAGGCAGCAAAGCAGCCTGACAGCAAACTGTAGCTCCCCAGCTTCTCTCCTGTATGGACTAGTACATCAGCTCCTACCTGCCTCCCTCGAGGCATTTTTCAAAAGAAATTCTGGGCTGTTTTGTAACTTTCCCCTTGAAAGAGACCTGGCTCAAATGCTGGTTTCCCAGAAACTCACCCAACAGGGTCCTGCAGGGAAAGAAGGGAAGTTGCTACCTGCAGATCTGCACCTCGTAACCCAGGTCCAGGGGGTCATTGGGGGCTGTGCCGTTCTGGAAGTCACTGACGTTGAAGGAGGAGAGAGTATGGTTGACGAAGCCGTGCATGGTGCCATTCTGGCTGTACATGTAGAGGTACACCAGGCGCGGGATGAAGTCGGATGTGAAGGAGATGACGAAGGCCTGCGGAGACAGTGCGGAGACATGACCTGGAGGGTGGGGGTGGATGTCTGTCACCCTTCAGTCATCTGTAGGGCTGGCGACAGCAGGCTCTCCACAGTGGGAGGCTGGGGCAGGTGAATGTGTTAGTCTCTCACCGGGTGGTACAGGCAGGTCACCTAACCTTTCTATGTCACCCTGTCCCCGATTGCACTCTGAAGGGACCTTGTCCCCCAGGCTTGATGCAGACACAGGAAGGTAGGGCAGGGGAGCCATAGAGCATGTCCAGCTCACACCAGCACAACTCAATCCGGAGTAGGTGACCAGCAGGGGGCAGGACAGAGTCCTAGGGCTCAAGAACTCCTCCTTGGGCCGGGGAGATGGCTCAGCAAAATAAGCGCTTCCCTGGCAAGCACAAGGGCCTGAGTTCAATCCCTGGTTCTGCCAAAAAAGCCAAAACAACTTCTCCTGGGCTGAGTGTCACTCCTGTACCATGAGGGGAGCTCCGCACCTGCTGCTGGTTGGCAGGGTGAAGGGTCACGGGGCAGTGGCAGTGGCAGTGGGGACACTCTGTGGTTCCCCTGGGCTTTGAAGCACATGTAGGGTCAACTGGACAGAGCAGAACTTAGGGGGAAGAATACCTAAAACACACTGGACATGGGAACCCCGGGAGGGGAGGCCACTGGAAAGACTGCTGTGACCAAGGAGTCCGGGGCTGACAGTGCTAACCTGCGGCCTGGGACAGGCGAGACCATAAGGGGTAAGGTAATGTAGGGGGATGCTGGTTCTCAGTGCAGCTGGGGCAGGGGTGGTACTGACAGATTCCCCTTTTTCCTTACCCAAGCTTCTTTCATGAGCGGGTTTGTATTTCATATAGAGGTGAACCCCCTCCCAGGAGAGAGACTGAAAGGCTGCTGCTCATTTCTCTCTCCCACTCCTCCCCGGTTGCCGAAGGCTTGCAGGAGGCTGTGGAGGAACTGGGGTCCCCTACCATGTTCCCCAAGATCGACAGAGTTGGAAGCAGGCTGGGGCTGTGCTGGGATTGCAGGCAGGAAGCAGAGCCCAGCTCCACCGTCAAGCCACCCACCCCGTCATCCAGCTAGGACTTCTGTCCGTTTGGCTCAGCTCCCCAGATGTCACTTACATTGATAATGACAGCAAGCTTCCCAACGCCTCTGAGGATATTGTACCAGATCCCTGGGAGAGAAGAACAGGTTAAAGACCCCTCTTGGACAGATGCTCAGCCACCTGGTTGCACAGAACATCCAGTGTCCCTGCCTTGTGGATAGTACGTCTGTTCTTCAAGGCCATCCGAGGGACACAGTGGCAGTGAGTCATCACCTGGTGAGTGCCAGGGCCCATGGCTTTATAGATGCTTAGCTGTCCATGAGCACACAGGCTTCTGAGAGATATGCTTAGAAACAGCCATCCCTGATGGCTCTTAGCTCCTCAAGCAACCCTGCTTATTATGCCAACTGGCCTGGTGGGACCTGTTTTCTAGAGAGACAAAGATCTGCCAGGTGTGGCGAGATGCCTGTAATCCTGTACTCTGGGAGGCTGACGCAGGAGGGTCATGAGTTTGAGTCCAGTCTAAGCAAGTTAGTGAGACCCTGTCTCAAAACAAAATATAAAAATGGGCTGGGGAGGTACCTCAGGGCAAAGGCCCAAGGTTCAACCCCCAGTACCCACCCAATACACGCATGTGTGCACACACACACACACACACACACACACACACACACACACACACGAAAAAAAGGAAAGGTGCAGCAGCTCCTGGACTGCTTCCTGAATAGCTGTAGTTGGCAGGAAGCCCACTTAGTGTTGGGCTAAAAATCAAGGCCCGGGCTCCTCACTGGGTCAGTCAGGAAATCATTCTGGGAATGACAACTGGGAATGTGGAGTAAACCATTTCCTTTCTGGCCAGCCCAAGGCTCCTGCTAGCCCAAGTCACAGACAGCCACAAGCATCACAAGACAGCACAGGGGATGCACTGCTTCTTGGTTTGTTTTTGGATGGAGCACTGCAAAGGCCTTGGTGCTGTGATTCCTGGCAAGGGCCTGGTGTCCTCTAACCAAATCCTCCCAGGCTAGGCTCACATCCGGGCAGGTGCTGGCTCCAGGCCTTGAGCCAGGTCCAAAGTGGGCGATCCAGGGAGGATAAGCAGCTACTCATGGCCTTAGGGAAAAATAGGGCAGGTGGGCTTCCAGAGGGCAGGGATTGTGGGACAGCTATGCATACACTGCCCTCCTACCCCAGAAGGAGCAGTGGGCAGGGGCTGCTGCCTTTGTTTCTGGGGTACATGCTACAGGGGTACAAAGAGAGCAGGAGCTTACCTCCTGCTCCCCAGAGACAGGGAGCCACAGGCTCAGGCACAGTGGCTGAGGCCAATACAGCATGACGTGCGAGGTGCCAGGATCTCTCCCTCCCAGCACTGGCCAGGGGACACTCAATGACAAACCCCAGTTGTGACCTGAGTCCACCAGAACCGCGCGGGCTGACCCATTTCAGCTGGGAGCCTGGGAAGCAGGCTTCTGCCCTCGGCCCACAGGGGCTGCAGCCTGGCCTGGGAGGAGATGCTTACCCCAGCTCTACCTGACATCTCCCATGACAGCACAAGCTCCCAGCAGGAGGAAGGGGTGAGCCAGGCACAGCACTAGGAAGGCAGCGCATCCTTCTGGTGCCAGCACTTGTACTCTGAGCATGAGTGACATTTCATGCCCGGCCTCTCCAGGCCATGTGTTGGGGACAAGAGGCCTTCTGTGGACTCGGAGACCCCGGAGTGGCCTGTGAACGGCACATCCTCTCTGGGTCCTTCTAGGGTTGGTGCTATTTGGCAGATGTTTGCTGAGTGACTTCATAAGCATAAATCATGCTTTGCAACAGATGAAACCAGGGGAGAGGATGCAAAGCAGGGGCTGGGGACCTGTTGAGGCTGCGTGGTGTTCCACTTTGCTTGCCTACTACTAAAAGCGCTGACTGATGTTTACAAAATCTAGATTTGTTGCTTCTGAGAGAGTCTTAGCTCTGGTCCACAATCCTCAGATGCATCTCCATGACAACCTGTAGTAGCCACCAGTGGCTCCCCCTACAGACCACGTTGGGGACTGCAGCTGCTTTTGGGGATAATTTGATCCTAGCTCTTTAAGAGAGGAGAAAGTCTTCCAGAACCTGTAAAGTTGGGGCATAGAACATCCAGGGAGGGCTGAGTGTTAGGGGGAAACATGGGGCCATGTCTGTCACTTTGGGGTTTACTGTTTTCACAGCGTGTGGCCCACCAGGCCTGTTGGGCTCTTAGTTTGAGACCTCCAAGCGGGGATGCTGGGGTGGCTTCAGATCTCCACACAGGGCTCCTAGAGGATGGCATCTGAACTCAGCACCTCCTAGGATAAGTGAGGGAGATGGGCCAGGTGACCATCACCCAACAGAGATGCCAACAGGAAATGGGAAGGACGAGGATGAAGGACGGATGGACATGCCAGCGAGCAGAGCTTTAGGAGTATCCTGGAGTCTGGAACTGAGCCTGCCCTACAGGTCTGTAACATGCCTACATCTAGACCCTGGCTTTCTGTGCACCCCAGTGATGGGAGATGCTTAAGGAGCGCAAACCCAGCAGGCCTGGCAGTGGCATACATCTATAATCCCTGCACTCTGGGGTGTGTGGGTGGCAGGAGGACTGAAAATACAAGACAAGCCTGAGTAATGAGTGAGACCCTACCTCAAAAAAAAAAGTCAGAGGTGTGGCTCAGTGTGGCTCAGTAGGGAGGCCCTGGCTTCAGTGCCCAGTACCATAAAAAGGAGAGAAAAGTGCAAAGCCAGACTTCCACCCCTCGCTTCTCCTGGCTCAGGGCCGGCACCTGCACTGCTTGGGATGATGTGGCCGTGCATCTTGCCTAACATGTACCGATCTCACCTTGCTAGGTCAATCGAGGGATGCTCTTGTGGACAATTTTGAGCTGTTTGTATGTGAACCCACATGGGGAGCCGCCCCACTCTGCCTACCTTTCCCTAGGGCTTTTTTTCCTTTAAATCCTCCTGGGGTCTCTAGGCCCCACTTCTAAGCAGACAATAAGGAAGTATCTGGGTAAAACCAAGGGCTTGGCAAGGGTGGCCAGGAGCAAAATGCTGCCGAAGTTTCTCCTGACAGCCTCTGAAGGCAATAGGAAGTCCAAGTGGAAGGAGCCAGGGGATCCAGGGCTGGTGCCCACGCACAGTACTGAGGCCCTGCAGGGACCCGCTGTGCTGCCCCATCCATGGCCAGGGATGACAGAACACCCACACTCTGGGTACAACCTCCCTAGCCAGTCAGGGCCTGTGGGGTGCAGGTCACAGGGGCCATGGGGAGGCCGGCCCGAAGGTTCTGCACGGATCACAGGAGGAATACAAAAGCTTGTTGAGCAAAAGGTTACAGGTAAGGAGCCTGCAAACAAGCATGTGAAAGACTGGCCAATCACACTTTCCACCACCCAGACAGGAACCAGGAAGTGGCAGCTGATCCGTGAGCCGTGGGAAAGAGCAGGGAGCCAGGAGCGCAGCCCTGCAGGTGCACGTGGCTGCCCGGCCGGTGGGGATGCAGCGCAGATGACGGGGCTGTGGGGAGCCAGGTGCTCTTTTCACCCTGGTGGGTGTCCAAGTTTTCAGGTGCCACTGTCTGCAGCCAGTGAAGGCCTTGGAGGCAGAGATGCCAAAGCAAACACATGCCCACGTGGACTCCACTGGGGCCTCCAGGTGTCCGGGAACCAGGCCTTTGTGAGGATGCTTTCCTCTGCTGCCACAGGGCAGAGAGCCGCAGGTTCTCAGGGACTGTCAGGCACCCTGCTGCCCCCATTTCCAAGTTTGTCTGCAATGTGACAGCCAAGCGAATCCTTTCAGGGAAGAGACGAGGCCTTGAGTCATTCTCTTCAGTTCTCTAATCTGACCTCAGTGTCCCCATGTGGGAAGTGGGACCAAAGAGCCACCCAGGCTTCCTGCAGCTCCTCAGAGGACTCCATGGGCTGAAGGGTCCCAGACAAATCCGGGTCACTCCTAGCTCTCTGGAGCTGGCTGTCAGAGCAGGGTGTGTGGGATCTCTGAGAAGCTAGCCAGGGACTCACCTGGCTTCAGGGTTGGAATTGCCTGTGGCCCACCTCCAGCTGAGGATCTGTTTCTGCCTGGCTTGCCAGCTGCAAATGGCTTTTTATATTTTTCAGTGCAAATTTTTAAAAAAATGGATAAAAGAATTGCAGTAAAGAGTCCTTTTGGGGCCAGGGAGATGGCTCAGTAGAATAAGTGCTTGCCTGGCAAGTGCAAGGGCCTGAGTTCAATCCTTGGTTTCACAAATAAAAAATAAAAAAGAGTCCTGTTAAGGCTTGGGGACTGCCAAGCCCAAGACCTCTGCTCCTTGGCCCTTTTGTGGGAAGCCTGGACCAGCTGCTCATCCAGTGCTTCTGGAGGGCCCAGCCGAGGGACCACCAGGAGTCTGGGCACTTGGGGGTGCGGCATGAGGAGCAAGCCACTCCCTCAGTCGCAGAGGAGGCCTTATTAGTGCTGCTGGGGTCCAGAGGGACCTGGAAGGATCCGCTCACACAGGGCCGTCATATTTTAAAAGTTTGTAGACAGATCTCATTCTGCGGTCTAGCTGAGATTTTTTTTTCTTCTTCTGGATTTCTACCATCTGCCTTGCCCAGACAAGAGGTGACACATGGAGGCAAATGTTTCCAGGGTAAGTCTGACACTATCTTCCTCCCTCCTGACACAGTACCCGCGTTTCTGGGCCCAGCTCCTCACAGGGCCTGCACTACGGCTGGCCGGAAGCTGCTGGGTCAACCGGATGCAAGTGCCGACGCGTGATGGCATTTGACTGTGAACATGGCAGTTTCCCCTGGTACAGACTAAAGCGTGCTGCGTATGAGAAGCCAGAGTCCACGCTGCCTCTGAGGCGGGTGGTGGAGGAGTGGCAGATCTGGTGGGCCGTGGCTAGGCCCCCAGAGGCTAAGCGGGGCCCGAGAGCTTCCGGCCCCTGATCCCTCCTAACAACTGCAGGACAGAACATGCTGCCAGTTGAGGGGTGTCCCAATAATAACAATCCTGGTGTCTAGGGCTGGAAAGACCAAGAAAGTACCCCACAGTTTCACAAAAGTGGATTTGGGGTACAAAAGTTCAACCCACAGACGCCCTTTCACACTGGCGTGTCAGTGTCATTTCAAAAGAATGACAATGGCCCTAACATAACTCCATCCTTCGTTTACTCCAAGGATGAGCTCTGAGGTGGTATTCTAACTAAAATGATGGAGAGAAAACTAGAGCGCTTTGCTGGACTGCCTTCACCTTGAAAATTGGGTTTCTCTTTAGGACAGGAAGGACATTGTCCTTGCTGGTGAGGGACAGCTCTGACTGAAGCATGGGATGGGGCATGGAGCCTGTTCACTCCATCTCTTATATCTTGTACCCCTCCTGGACACCCTGTTTGCTTCAGCGCCTTTGGTGGTGATTGGGGGTTCACTATCCCATCAGGAAGTGTGCTCCAGTTTCTGACATACCTGTATCGGTTATTCTTTTCACTGACTTTAAATATGCTTTCCCCAGTCCCCAAGCCCCTCTCCTACACATGGAGGAACCATGCTTGAGTGACTTGGGGTGGGAAAGCCTGCATTAAAACCCTCAGTGTATGTCTGTAATCCCCACTACTTAGGAGGTTGAGGCAGGAGGACCTCAAGTTTGAGGCCAGCCTAGGTAACCTAGCAAGACCCTGGCTCAAAAAAGGCGAGCTGTGTGGCTGTGGCTCAGGGGTGGATTACCTGCCTAGCATGTGCAAGGCCCAGATTCTATCCCCAGATCTACAGGAAAAAAAAAAAAAAAAAAAAAAGCCTAGTGAAGTTTCACATAGGTGAGTCACTGAATGGTGGAACCTGTTCTCCTTTTCCTCTTCTCTTTCGAGAACCTTAAGTGACTCAAAACTATACAATGCAGGAGGTATTTGCTAGGCAGCTGGTATTGCTGTTCCAGGGTCTGTCTCTACCTTTCAGGGCCACTGGCATCTGACTCCCTCCCTCCCAGTGTCCTCATGGCAATTCAGTCTCAGGCAATGTGGTCTCAGGAGGTGGGGTGGATGAGTAGGCCTCCAGGTCTCGGATCACCCAGGAAGGACAGAGTGAGAAACCCTCATGGGGTTCCGGCTCTGGCCTGTGGAGCCCTCCCTTGACTGGGACTCTTCCCTCTGTTCACTCACCAATGTCCTTCGCTCTGACAGCTACTGGCCTCCGAAGCTCAGTGACAAACTTCTTGGCATCCAGGCGGATCTCAATGATGTTGTTCAGCAGCGCAAACAGTGGGGCCAGTGGGAAGGATGCGACAAACAAAGTGACAAAGCCAAACTGGATGACTGCAAAGAGAGTGAGGTGCTGCTCACCGCCATGCCTGGCGCTGAGGGGCAGGGGACACCGCCTACTGCCCTGGCCCTGAGCTCAGCTCAGCAGACCCCAGGCCAACGTGCCCTGCCTTGAGAGGGCCAACTGTAGCTGCCTAGGGGCACCTGCATGACAGGATAGTCCCAGTGACTTGAGGCCAGGGGGGCCAAAGGGAGAAGCTGCTCAATCACTGTGCTTGATACTGTGATAGTGGGGATGCTCTTCTGATACAGGAAGTCATCGCTCACCTATCAGGCTGCACCCTCACCAGGGGAAGGGCCTCAGTTCCGTGCTACTTTCCCACTGCCAGGGGCTCCTTGAGGTCTGGGAGGCCTGGCCCCATCGCTGTGTCCTTCAGAACCCCAGATGTCCCCTCTACTGGGTCTCAGGGTGGGTGGCTCCATCCTGCAGGAGGCCTGGTCCCTCCTCCCCCAGGCCTCACTCCTTCTGCTCATTAGCCATGAGTGAGTGTTAGGGTTTCTCTGGCTCTGGATGCCACAGCTGGAATGGGCTGAGCTCTGAGGAGAGGTCAGGAAAAGGTCACTGCAGGAAACAGGGCAGGGGAAGCCAGTGAGGAGCTATATATCAGGACTTGGTCCAAAGGTGCTCGGTGCCAGGTGGTAAATAAGGAAGCCAGCAGAAAGTCACCCGGTGCTTAGTGGCTGACTGTGAGTACTGTGAGCACTGGGCGGATGGGGCAGGGACCATGGCAGCCCTGTTCTGGAGCTTTCCTGGGGGCCTCGCGCTCCCCTGACATGGTTGGGTGGGAAGCCTCTGTGGAGACTCTGGAGGTGACCAGGACACTGGATAAGCCAGGCATCGTGGGTTGTACACACGGGCCAGGGGTGGCAGGTCATTGCCAGGGTGGCTGTCCTCATTTCCAAGTGACAATGCCCCCTTGTGTGGCGCTAACAGGATGAGAAAGCATGGAGAGAAGTGGGAGAGGCTGCTGGGCCTTTCTGGGCCCACATCCCCACCTGAGCCTTTCTTCTGTCCATCTACATCTGTGTGATCTGCTGCCAGCCTCAGTCTCCTCTCGAGGAGACAATGGCAGCTGGTATGACAGGGACAGAGCAGGGTACAGAAGCCCACCCTGGATGGTGGGGGCAGGCCAGGCATGGGAAAGAGGAGCCCACTCAAAGAATTGCACTTTTCCAAATCCGGGAGCACCATGGGAATCCTCCAGCCACCAGAAAAACCCAGAGAAATGTCCAGTCTCTTGGCCAATGGCGGGCAGTGGTTTTGTCAGTCATCTGGTCCCCTGGCTTCTACAGCAGGTGCAGGCTGACCTCAGTGACCCAGACGTGGTTGGCCATAGCCCCACCTCCGTGTCTTAGCAACTGTGGAAGGAGCTGGCTTGGAGCTGCCCACCGGGCCACCTTTGGCTCAGCCTGGAATTTCTTCCAGGAGAAACGAAACAGGCTAAGTGTGGGTTTGCAAGTCCAAGCCCAGCCTGGGGAACTTAGTGAGTTGGTGAAACCCTATCTCAACATAAACAGTGAAAAAAGAGCTGGGGATTTAGTTCAGTGTAATGGTCTTGGGTTCAGTCCCTGAATCAAAAGAGATGACAGGGACAGAGAGAAACAGTCATCAAAACATGGTCCTTTGGACTGGGGAGACAGCCCAGCAACATAAGTGCCTGGTAAGCACAAGGTAGGTCCTGAGTTTGATCCCCAGTACCAAAAACAAATGAACAAACAAAAATCAAAAGAAAACCACAGCTCTTTAGAGCCTGAGTCAACAGCCAGGTGCTCCTTGTACAATCACCGGGGGAGCTGCTGGGCCCACCGTAGGAGCACAAGAAGGAACTTAGGGAGGTGAGGGAGGAGCTTAGGGAACAGGGGAGGAGCTTAGGGAGGCAAGGGAACCACTTAGGGGGTGGAGCCTCAAGGAGCTTAGGGAGGTGGGGGCGGAGCTTAGGGAGGTGGGGGCGGAGCTTAGGGAGGCAGGGCGAGGCTCCTGGAGCAACGCACAGGAAAGTTGGGTAGAGGCTCCAGAAGCCAAAGGCCACACTGCTCCTCAGCACAGCAGACCTGTGTACACTTGGGCACTCACTCTAGGCCAGTCCAGTCTGCTCAGTGCTTGTGTAAAATGCAGAGTCTGGGACAGCCCTTCTTGCGTGAAGGCCAGGGATGGGTTTGGGAATCTACACTTCTGAGACTTGTTAGTGCTGGCCAGAGACACTGCACTCAGAACCTTTCTGCCTGTTTTCCTGTCCATTTCCTCACAGTAATTCATGAGCAAACACGTACTGAGCACTTGCCACATACCCAGGCAGTTTCAGGGGGTGGAGACTGAGTGGCAGTGAGGCTCGCCTTGGGTAGGGCATTAGACAGATGGGACAGAGCAAAGAAGGGCTAAAGGTAGCAGCTGGTGACTGCCAGAGGGAGCAGGGGGAAAAGCGGGCCTGTTGCCTGTGGAGGGGAGGGGTTGCCCCCTTTGACCTCTATGATCAGGAAGACCTCTGATAAGGGACATTCTGAGCAGCACCTAGGAAGACAGGAGGGAGGACGGGAGAGAGCAAGTCATGCAGGTACTAGGGGAGAGCCTTCCAGTGGGAACACAGCTAGTGCAAAGGCCCCGGGGCAGGCCTGAGCAGTGTGCTAGGGAACAACAAGGAAGCCAGAGTAGCCAGAGCAGGGGAGGCAGACAGTGAGGAAGTGCGGCCTGGGGCTCCAGTGGCTGGTGCAGGCCACACCTGGCTGTTCCCGCCTCTGCTCCGCCCACCTGCAGGACTGGCACACCACAGGCCTAATCTCTAACTGCTCTTGAGTCCTGCTCTGTGCAGTGAAACCACAGGTGTTTACTGCCAGGACGGAGAGGAGGACTAAGGCCTGAGAACTGCCTCCTCCAAGAGCAGGGCCCGAGGGGCAGCCAGAGGCTGGGTGCAGTGGGGACTGTAGCTGTGGGGTGGGCTCTCGGATAGCTGGGGCTGAGGCGAGAAGTGGCCTGTGCATCAGGCTGCATGGTGATGGCACCTGGGGACCAGGGCCATCAGGACCCAGGGGCCAATTTCAAGGGGCAGGGCTCATGGATCTAGGGCGACGACAACGGCCTTACAGGGCCCCTTACTCTCATCTCCCACTGGGACTCTGGCGCTTCGGGTCAGGGTGGGGACATTGCATAGCCCGAGGGCCTGGTTCTACCCTGCCACCGCCGCCCCAGGGCACAGTGAGGCCAAGGCCCCCACTCACTCATCTCCATGTACTCGGGGGTGAGGCCGGCGAAGGGCTCCAGGTTGTAGTCTACCTCATAGCGCTGCTTCCTCTTCCCCTGCTCCTCGTGGTCTGAGGGGCTCTGGCGCCGCCGCCTCAGGCGCCGGATGAGCTTTTTCATCTTCCTGGAAGATGTTCTGCATCACTGGGCGGCCTTGGAAAGATGGGGGCCTCCCTCATTGCTTTCTCTCTTCCCTTCTTCCCTCGCCACTCTTCCTTTCTCCTTCCCTCCCTCCTCTCTCTCTCTCTCTCTCTCTCTCTCTCTCTGTCTTTCTCTTATACTGGAACTTGAACCCAGGACATCTCCACCCTCTTTCAAATTTTTAAAAACATTTCTTTGAGACAGTATCTTGCTAAACCGCCCAGGCTGAGCCGACACTTGCAGTCCTCCTGCCTCAGCTTTGAAGAGTGCGGGTTGTGTCACACACCCTGCTTCAAGGTGCTATATCTCACTTTCTGTGATAAGCCTTGAGCTGTTAGTTCACAGTAGGGAGATAAGGTCAGACATGGGGCTGGAATCAAATCACAATAGGCAGCCCAAGGCATGGTAAGGATTTTAGTGTCTGCTCTAAGCAAGATGGGAAAGCCACTATTGCTCTTGTCACACAGACTATTGCTCTGTAACAGCATCATGGCTTTGGTGGCTTCTCAGGGACACCCAGGGGTGGGAACATAAAGGCCCCCTAAAGTTGCAGGACAGCAGGCAGGGCCTGAGGACAACATAAAGTGAGGACTCTTAAGAGTTGTGACCATGGGGAAGAGTCCAGAAGTGGCCTTTTGGGGAGAAGGTGCGGGCACAGATTTCTGAAGGGGACAAGGACAAGAAGGCAAACACTAGCTCCCTATTCACCAATCCTGAGACCCACAGGTGGGTTTGGGGGCGTCTGTTGTTACCCTGCATGCTCACCCAGCCTCCTCTCTTAGTCCACAATGGGTGACTTCTCCCCGCCTAGTGTTCACTTTTGTCACCCAGGCCAGCACAAGAGCCACCCATGCACCCCAAGATCCGGTGCCCCACCCGCCCCGCTGCAGCTGGGCGGGACTCACGGGATGCCGATCTCGAACAGGTTGTTCTGGATAAGCTGCTTCCCCAGCATGATGATGCTGAGCTGGATGCAGAGCTCCATGAGGCATCCACCAGGGGCGCACTGCAGAGAGAACAGAACTGGTCTCACCGCCAGGGACTCCTGGAGAGGAGTCCGGGCCCAGGCAGCACACCTAACCATCAGGCTGGTTAGGGCTGACTTGTGTCCTCCAAAGAGACAGTCAAGTCCCAATACCTGGAATCTGCGAAGGGGGCCTTAGTGGGAGAAAGGGTCTTTGTAAGCATAATTAGTAAATCAAGATGAAGCCATCCTGGAGTAGGTGGCCCTAATCCTGAGGCTGGCGTCCTCATAAGAAAGCAGACACAGAGAGGAGAAGGTGGAGACTGGACTGGCTGTAAAGGGTCACCGAGGACTCTGCTGTCCTCCTGTATCAGGCAAAGCAAGTAAGGACTCTTCCAGAACCTCCGAGGGGAGCATGGCCCTGTGGGCACCTTGATTTTAGGCTTCCAGAGCCGTGAGCAGTTGGATTTGTGGTGTTTTGTGGAGGGGGCCCCAGGAAAATAACACCTTGCCTGCAGCCGCTGAGCAGGGCCAGGAGCTCGGAGGAAGTGCCAGTGCCAATGAGTGGGCCTTGGGCCTTGGATTCCTCCTCCTCCTCCAGGGCTAGCAACTTGTCCCATACCCTGGCCACCCGTCCACAGGCTGTACAGCGTGGCAGGTTGGGCCACCCAGCTGGGAAGCCCCAGAGTGAGGCAGCCCTGCTCTCAGTGGGCAGTATCTCCGCAGGCTGGCTGGTGGCGGTGAGATGCCTCTGTGGGGGGGAGGCTTAACATGCCCAAGCAACAGACACCCTGGTGACCTGAGGGTACAGTGACCTTTCTCGGGGACCCAAGCAAAAACCCCTTTATAATTATCAAGTAACGTGTCTTAGGCATTCTTTCATAAAAAAGAGCATCACTTTGGTTTTATTCTATTCTAAAAAGACGTTTCTCCTGCTTCTACAATGGCAGAGTTTGACAGTGTATCATGTATATACAAAAATACCATGCAGAAAGTAAAACAATTCCTTATGGGCTTTCAGCAAGCACCATAACTGCAGGAGCCCTGGGATGCCCAGGGCCTGAATGAACTTTTAGGCTGTAGTCGAGGTGGCTGGGTTGCCCTGTACCTGATGCCCACCCCCACCTGCTATTCCATTCCTCAGTGAAAACGTGTGCTGGGTCCCCTATGCCTGGGCGTGGACCCAGCCTGGCCTGACGGAGCCACCAGTCTGTGGAGGCGGTCCACGGGCCGTGACTCAGCAGCCAGCGGCGGCTGGCGCCATACCCTCTGTGGCCAGAACTGTGAGGCAGAAGCCAAATGTTGCCAGCACCAAGTCTGTGGGTAGAGGGGTGGGCGTAGCAAAGTTGGAAGTAAAAAAATACAGCCGAGGTCTGTTTTTCCCCATTAACTCATTTTAACCAGAGACAGAAATACTCAAAGCCTGGCCAGAAAAAGAAAGAAAGAAAAGGCAAGCATGTGTAATTTTCTCTCTTTGACTCGGGAGACTTTGTCTTCTTTAGGGGGATTCCCTGTGGGCACGCCAACTAAGACCAAAGCTGACCCACCGGTAGAGAAAAGCACAGGCTCTGTCAGAGGAAAGGAAAGGCTGCTACGGCCTAACAAACAGGTGTCCTGCTGCTCCTGAGGTCCCGTGTGGGCTTGTAGGGGAGCCAAGCAGAGGGGGCTGTTGCTGCGAACCTATATGCCTCAGTTACCTCCTCCATTCGGAAGGAGCGGAAGATGTACACGTAGTCACCCGGGCGTCCCACGAACCTGAAACAAACAGAAACCAACATGAAGCTCATTAACAGCCAGGCTTTGCTCACTTGGGTAGAACGCACACCGTGCTGGGCTTTGGCCCCAAAGTCTGAGCCTTGAGTCTATTCACAGGCAACACCCCTGCCTGATCTCCTCTACTAGGATGGGGCATGGCTGGCCATCCTGCTTGCTGGCGGGTCCTGATCTCCTGGGTCAATCCCTAGGTGGTTTTGGGATTGCTATTAGGATTGCTGCCTGAGGTCCCCGCTTCCCAAAGCTCTGGCTGCTTGCATTCTCCACTTCCTGGAGTGCCCACTGTTCAGGAGTTCTGCCGTTTTGCCACTCAAGTGGGAACCAGAGCTTCTTGAAGGGCCACAGCTCTGGGAACCAGGCCTCCTCTTCACAGGGGAGGGGAAGAGATGAACCTTACACCAGATGGGGTGGAAAAAATTGGGCAAAGGCTGAAGTCCCTACCGTCCTTTGAAGAAAGCCACATAGAAGATGGGGGTGTAGGAGTTCACGAACTTCAGCAGGAAGGCCTTGAAGATCAGTCTCTCCTCAAAGCTCTTCTCAGTCTTCGGGACCTCTGGGGGACAGATGGACTATGCCAACTGGTGCCTTTGACCACAGGCACCATAACCCCCCCAACTCACAGCCAACTCAGACAGGGACTTGGGGTGATATTTCTGGGCAGGACCTGGGGCACAGGCACTCACCGATCTTGGTGAGCCACCTGGCGATGCAGCCATAGACCTCATCCAAGAGGATGATGACCACCAGGTTGATGATGACTGCAGTGGCCGTGACTGTGACCCGGATGTTGGACCTCACGGAGGGGGAGGAGTTCATGGCCAAGGCAGCAGCCATGGAGATTCTGTAGATGATGACGCCGAGGACAATGGCAAATGTCACTGCGACCTGTGGGGGAGGCGGGGGGCACTTGGCAAGGGGCCCAGCTCTCTCCAGCCTTCAGCTCTTCTGGGTCAGAACCAAGAATGACCTTGCCTGTGCACTTCTGCAGGCCAGGGCTCTGCATGTTAAGCCATCTCAGGTGACTTTTCTGTGATACAAGAGGGCCCTGCAGCTCAGAAAGGCTGCGTAGCTAGGGCTGGGATCTACAAATGGGTCTACTGGAACCTGAAATTCACTGGATCTTTCTGTGTCGGGCCCAATCACAGCACAGGGCACAGTGTCACCTGTGCCCTTGGTATGTGGGGGTGCTCACTGCAGCAGGAGGGGTGCTTCTCCCCTGCCTGGCCTGAATGAGCAGAGGGAGGGACGGCCTCAGAGGGAGTGCTGCCACCCCCAAGGAACTGCCCTGTGTAGAGGTGGCAGCAGGCAGCACTGCAGGTCTGGTGGGAGGTGGGACCCAGCCTCCATGAGAGCAACTCCAAGGCTGGCTGAATCCACCATGGATCAGAACCCTCCATAAAACAGGCTGGTGATTGCCTGAGAGACCAGGTCAGAGCTGGCTACCCTAATCAGTTGGTTCCATCCACTGCAGGTTGTCTGTCTGTCTGTCTGTCTGTCTGTCTGTCTGGAATTCCTTTGCCTATGGCCCAACTCAAGCAGCAAGACCCAGCCCCCACTCTGCCCTGCCCAAGGCTATGGAAGTCCAGTCTGAGGACATACATGACCCATGCAGCATGAGCAAGTGGGAAGCACACACAGAGCCAGGCCTCCAGACCAAGACTGAGCCCCACCTGTAGTACGCAGGCTCCTGCTGGGTGTTCCCTGTGTCCTGAGTGCAGGTAGTGGGTCCTGTCCCTCCTGAGAAGGTCCCCTTGGACTCCCAGGACAGCCGACCTGCCTTCAGTTACAGCTCAGGATGGGTGAGACATGCTGGCCCCATGGGAGGCTGTGGCCTTTGGGGATCTCCTGGGCAAGCTCTCATTGTACACTCTGAGCCACCAGTACTAGCACCTGCAGATATCTGCTGGTGACTAAATGGTGACCATACCTGCCCTGGAAAGCATGGGCAGCTTGCATCACTCCTGGCCAATGGTGACTGGCTTGGGGGAGGGGCATGGGTACCACTCCTGGAGGTAGGGGACCAGGTTATCCTTAGAGTAAGCCTCCTCTGTCCTGTCAGGCAGCCTCACCCTAGCTCCAGAAACTCCCTTGTGCCAGACAGATAGGGTGCTGGGCCTGGGGTGACTCAACTGCAGCAGGCAGCCCCCCACGTTGTTGGGGGTCAGCACGTGCCAGAACAGACAGGCCCTGTGCTCCCTTCCTGAATGGAGGTACCAGGCCAGATCTGCTGGCTGTCTGCACTAGTGTCTAGAGGACCAGAACCACATCTGTTCCCTGAATGGGGCTCTGGAGTCAGGGACCGAGCTGTGTCCCCACCCACAGTAAGTGTGACTCACCAGGATGTTGAGGGTTGGGAAGGAAATGCTGGCCATCTCCTACCCTATGTTCCTAACCTTTGTTCCATTCTCTTGCCTTGTGAGGACCATAGCGTGCTCCTCTCTCAGCTTCTCTGCAGGCTGGGTGGCCAGACAATGGGTGCTAACCAATGAAATACAGGCAGAGGTCTCTTCAAAGGGCTGGAATAGCTGTTGCTTCCCATCTTCTGACTCCCCCCCCCACTTCCCTGTCTTCCTGTCTGGAAAGTAGACATGACGTTGCAGGGGGAGTAGCCACATTATGCCCAAGAGTGGACACAATGCTAGGCTGGGTGAGCAGAAGGTCAGAGAAGCTGCTGGACCAGCCCCACACCACCCACCCCCTTCCTTTACTGGTCCTTCCACTAACCACCCTCTTCCTTGTCTGCCAGATGCAGCTGGACCTTAGGTTTCCCTGTGCCTCCCATTCCCTGAGCCCTGACCCTCAATATGTGAGGGCTGGGGATGCTCCAGGTAAGGGAGCCAGGTATTCTTTGGTTATCCCCTAGCACCAAAGGAGACATGACATGCACATGCGGGATGAGGCTGAGCCCACTCCCTGTGCAGCGTGTACTGGAGAGCAACTCTGCTAGTTCATCTTACTTGTCAATCTGACTGGGTTAAGAGATCCTTGGAGAGGTGAACGGGTCATGGTGTCTACACTCATCAGTGGATTAATCTGCTGAGGGTCACACTTGAATGCCAACAGAAGGTGGGGCTCACTGGAGAAATGGGTCACTGGATAGTGTTTTTGGAGAGCACACCTCTCACCCTTGTACTTTCCCCCTCTGCTCTGCTTCCTGACCATCATGAAGGGAGCAGCACTCTTCTCCCTTCCTCTCTGCTGTGATATTCCTAACCTGGAGCCAGCTCACCATGGACTGATCGCTCTGAACCTTGAGCCACTACACGCCTCTCCTTGGAGGTGTCTGTGTCTGGTGCTTGTCCCAGCAATGGAAAAGTTGAGCAGCATAGTATAACAGCCCTCCCAGACCCAAACAAATGCCCTTTCTCTGGGGCAAAGGGAGATGATCTTTGGTGTCCCAGTCTTCTGGATTTCTTTATACCAGACAAGGTCTTCCTTGTTGTGTGTGAAGAGTGTGGGGACAGACTGAGTCCTATGCTATCTTTCCTTACTTAATTAAGGGGTCTTCGGTCCCTTACTCAACCCAGGGAACCCAGATTGGCCTCCTGCCTCCTTTTCAAGTTCATGCCATAGGCCAGGGATATAGCTCAGTGGCTTAAGTGCCTGCCTGTCAAGCTCAAGGTCCCGAGTCAATCCCAAGGACAGCAAAAACAATCAAACAAAACCAAGTATGTGCCATTAAAGGGCTCTTAGAGCAAAGTGACCACCCATTTTCTGGCTCTGCCACCTATTGGTTCATATCCTGGGAAGAGAGGCCCAACCTCTGGGCTTTGGTTTCTCTGGGCAGGATGTGGATGGTACAGGACCGGTCAGCTCTGAAGCTGCTCCCTGAGATGCTCCTTATAGGTCCTCAGCTCTGTGGCCAACCAAGGGCCCTGGGCATCAGGTAGTCTACAAGACTCACTTATATCTCCACATTTGCTGGGGCAAATGTGTTCAGTGGTGGCCCTGACCACCTGAGGGTTGATGAACACTTGGAAGTGCAGCTGAGGACAAATCAGTGTGGGACTGGAGTCTCCTAGGACAGCCACAAAGATCTTGCCAATTCATTCACATCAGCTGAGCAGACCAGCTTGGAGTCACAGCCCTGCCACCTATCTGAGCAGCATCACAGTGACTTTTGTCCTGCCTCTGTGTCATTTCTTTAAGAGTTTCTGAAAGACTCCTGGCGTCATCCCATTCTAGGGATGGCCACTGGAGGAGCCAGGGTCAGCACGTCTTGGAGTGACTGGCACCAGTGTTCCCAGTGGCCCTGTCATGGTGGATGCCTGTTTCTTCTTGTGGACATCCCTCAGCTTCCGCTGTCACCCTCTGGAACTCACCATGAAGATGATGGAGACCAGGTTGGTGAGGTATGCCGGGAATCGGTCTTTCCACGTCAGCTTCACCTTGTCGGTCTGTAATATGAACGGCCAGCATCACCGGCTGGGATGTACCAGGGCATAGGCATGCGCACACACAGATGACGTGGACAACAGAGAGACTTGGGAAACCGTAAAACGGGTGCCGAGCAGGTTTAATGCCCGGTGTTTCCAGAGGCACACGGGACCTTATTACCTATGCAGTAACACTATGTGCAGACAGGGTGACGATCAGGGAGCTCACTTCCTTCATGCACCCAAGACTGGGAGTCCTGTGTCTGGGAACAGCCGACATTTGAAATCCACTTCTACCCCTGCAGGGCTCCCTTCGAGGGCCACAGGGCCCAACTGCTTGGCCATTTGCTACCCAGACTATAAGAGCTATTTTTCTTTTGCCCAACAAGTCACTAGTATTACAAGTTAAGATGTTGATTGCTGCATAGGAACAGGAACTGTGGGGACGTGTGGCTCAGGAAGGCTCTGGGGCAGGACCCAGCAGGGTCTACAGGAACCTCTGGCGGAAGCTGGTCAGCGGCCCAGGAGATTTCAAGTGGGGCTGAGATTTCCAACAGGAAAACATGCACATGGGCCAGGGCATGCTGGCACAGACCCTGTACAGGGTGGGTGCAGGAGTGCTCGTGGGGACGCCACAAGGGGCGCATGGGCAGCTGTGACAGGGATGGCCCCCTCAACATGGGATCCACCGCAGCCATGCGGGGACACAGTGACGCAGGCAGGGCTGGCGGGGTGTGGCGGGAGGTAAAGGAGTACGGGTGAGTGTTAGGAGGACGCAGGCAAAAGGGGAGAAGCACCACCACAAGGACTTGGAGGTCCGCACACGGTCAGGATGTGTGCTCCCCCGAGACACGAAAGTACCAATTTCACCCCTGCCATGGCGCTCTTAACCCTCTGCTTCCACTTGTTTGTTGACTCCTCCGGAACATGCCGGCGCTTCTGAGGGCAGGCAGGGAAAAGAGGCTGAGGCAGGAGAGGCACACTGACCTCGGGCCGGGCTGCGGTCCGCGGAGCCCATGTTCTCACAGGGCCGATTCCGGTTCTGGGCATTTTAAATAAGTAATGGGGGCAGAGACCCATATTCTAAAAGCAAGGCTGCGAAGAAAGTCATGGTGACAGAGCTGGAAGATTCTGGAACAGGGACTCCAGCACGACCTTCCCTCTGGGCCCACTGGCCTCCATCTCAAGAGATGCAGCAGTTCAGAGGGTGCAGAGACAGGGGTCTGTCTGTCACCATGAGCATCTCAGAAAGGCAGGAAGGAGGCACATCTAGAAGCTCAAGTAACCATGCCAAGGACATGGTGCATCTTTGTTACCATAGCTGGGGGAAAGATCCAGACCAGAGAAGCAGTGGCCAGGAGCCACAAGAAACAGAGCGGCAAAGGAAGGGTGTGGCCTTTGGGGAACAGTTGGGACCTGGCCTCACCATCAGGGGACTGCAAAATAAGCCCGACGCCTCTGAGGCTCCCTATGCTCAGGAGCTCAAGTTGAAACCAAGCCCTGGGCCGAGGGGCAGCTTCAGCATCCCCAGACTTCTAGCTTGCTGTTTCTTCACCCCAAAGTCCCTTGTCTCAAGCCAGCGTGGTGTAGCCACGAGAGTTTTTCCCCTTGGGAAGGAGTGGAACACCCATCTGAGCTCACTCTGAGAAGAACAACCACAGAGCCACAGGGTGACCATCCCAGGGGCCTTATGCCAATTTCTGAGACATCTCAACCCAAGCTTGGAACTGGGGACTCTGCCCGAGGGCCCACAGTGGCCAGCTGGGTACAGACAGGAACACGTGAGTGTGATGGGTTGAATTGGACAGATAAACCTCTTTATTTGAGGGTGACAATTCTGACTTGTGAGAGGGAACATCCTTCCCAACTGCAGGAAGCCCAGGTCTCTCTGATGTTTGCTGCATTACAGGAACTGGGAGTACCCACCTCTGTCCCCAGATGGGATTCTGTTGACTGTGACTTCTGGCCACTTGGTACCAATGAGTTCTGCACATGTGACATAATGGCCAGGAAAGAGAAGCCCAGGGGTTTGTCCTGGACAGTGCTTGAGGTGGACAGGGCAGTCTGGGAGGTGGAAGAGCAGTTTCTAGCCATTCACAGAGCCAAGGCGAATTTCTCCACCTCTGAGAAGTGGACAAGGCCCAGGAGTTTCTTTCTTGTCCCAGGTCATGTGAAAATCCAGCATTAAAAACATCCATATGCTCTGAGAGAGTCAAGCTTCACACGTAAGGTTTTGGTTTGGACAAGAAGTTGGGGACAGAGAAGGGGATTTGTTATAAAAACAGGGTGGTGGGCCGGCGAGATAGCTCAGCAGACTAAGCGCCTGCTTAGGCAAGCACAGGCCCTGGGGTTCAATCCCCGGCACCGTATGCTGTGCCAGCCCTGGCCCCAGGCATGCTGAGCTGGCCATAGAGACCAAGTAAGGTAGCGCACGCCTGTAATCTCAGCACTGGGGAGGCTGAAACAGGAGGATTACTATGAGCCCAAGCCTGCGTAGTGAGACCCTGTACCACATACATTAAACAAATAAACAAAAAACCAGGGTGGCCTCAAGTGCACGACGAAAAGCACACTTATTTCTCTTGTTCTCATAGTCAGTGAGGGAAACGAAGGCTCAGATGTTTGCTCACAGACCCTGGATCGCAAATGATTCTCATTGCTCAGTGTGAAGCACAGGTGGCAGGGTCCATGCCAAATGCACCTCAGTAGGGACTTCAGGCCGCGTGGTCCTTGGGCTGACATGCATGCTAAGGTTTGAGGTCTCCCACAGGGTACCTCGGGGTTTCACAGTTCCAGCCCTTGAGCCAAGTCTGCCCCTTCCTGCTTTTGTAAATAAAGTTTTATTGGAAGATAGCCAGGCCTGTTTGTTTACTGGTCATCAATGGCCACACTGTAGAGTTGAGTGGCTGCAGTGTAAGAGTAAACAACCTAAAATATTTACTCTCTGGGCCAACCTTGGACCACATCTGGTGAGCACAGGATCTGCCACCCCAGCCTGCATGGTTGATGAAGCAGCGCTTGCTGACCCCTCATCTACATTTGAACACACGGCGCTTTGCTGCCAGCAGAACAAGCTCTCAGTGATCCCCTACCTCTTTGTTTTTGGACTCTTTCCTCAGCGACTTCTCTAAGACTCTGGCTTCATATTCGGCCCTGGGATGATCCTGTGAAAGAAATCAAGTCAGAACAGGGTCTGGCTCACAGCGGGTGTGGGCTCCTCTGCGTGGGCACATGGCAACCAGCTTATGTATGTGCTGCGGGTGTCCTACAGGGCCAGTTCATGGCGGGCTGCCTGCCGCATTTCCAATTCCGAGGTCCCCGTGTTTGGCCTGCACACAGGCCTGGCATGCTCCACTGTTGGGACCCCAGCCCAATGGGGTGGCCACAGGGCCTGGCTTTGGGGTCCCGGGAGCACGAGGCTGTGCCAGGCTGCAGTGAGGACCAGCCATGAACCGGCCCCGAGAGCAGGCTGTGGAAGCTGTGGGGAGAGACGCAGTGTGCAGCAAGCGCGGGCAGACCAGAGGCCCGGGGAGCCCAGAGCGGTCAGCGGAGGCGCTGGAACAGAAGAAGGGGTTAGAGGAGGGAGAAGCAGAGACCCCGGCCCGGGAGAGCCACGAGGAGCTGCGAGGTGGAAACAGATGGGTGAGGTGCGGCAGAGGTCCTGGTTCTGGGAGATAGGCTGTAGGAAGACAGAGGAGTGACAAAAAGTTCCAAACCTTGACCGCCTCCTTCGGGGAACCAGAAAAGGAAAAACAAAAAGATCTCATTAATCATACTGTTTTCCAGACATGGGGTGCATCCTCTAAAGACCATTTTCTTAAAAACCAGGATGGAGACTGGGGACAGGTGACCAGGAGGGGAGCGTTTGATGGTGGGGGTCACTGTGACTCTGGATAACCTTTGGGCTGTCGATTTTGCAGCAGCCAAAGATTTTCCTAATTCCCAAGTGACAGCCAGGCTGGACCCAGCTTCCTTCTGCTTTGTGTGCAAAACCTGGGGTCACCCCTCCAGGGGGAAGTGGGCTCACTGTGGGGAACTCGTGCCAGTCACCTGGGATTGTGTGACCAGGGCTCCTGGCTGTGAAGTTAAGCCCTGTGCTGCCATAGTCAGGAAATCATGGGCGGGGGCCCTAATGAGTAAGTAAAGGGGACCAGCCCTGCCCCCTACCCCACTGTCCCCCAGGCACAGGAACTTCAGGCAAAGGACTTTTTTTTTTTTTTTTTTTTTTTGTGGAATTAGAGATTGAACTCAGGCCCTTGCACTTGCCAGGCAAGTGCTTATTCTACTGCGCTATCTCCCCAGCCCTGCAAAAGACATTCTGATCCGAGTTCCAAAACAAGGCAAATGGTTCTCTTTGACTTTTTATTTTAGTTGAATCTCTGTGTGTGTGTGTGTGTGTGTGTGTGTGTGTGTGCATGTGCGTGCATGCCTGTGTATATGTGTGGTGCTGGGGATGGAATTCAGAGCTTCAAGCATGTTATGTAAGTGCTCTACCATGTAGCCACATCCTCAGAACTTTTATCATCATCATCATCATCATCATCATCATCATCATCATCATCATCATCATTTATTATTTATTTTTAGACATAGTCTCATACAATCACTAAGTTACCCAGGCTGGCTTTGACCTCTGGGAACCTCCTGCCTCAGACTTCTGAGTAGCTGGGCTTATAGTTGTGTGCCACCATGCCCGATCCCTTTGAATCTTTCTAACTGAAACAGCAACAAGGGGACGGCCCACCCAGGGCACAGTTGGCCCAGCCCCTACCACAGGTACAGGGCTCTGGGTTCTGCCCTGGGATTGCCCCTAAACAGCTTTGGGCCAGTGAACGTGTCATCAGTTTGGAGCTGGCTACTGTGAAAGAGGAGAAGGAGGCAGGATAAGGGGCTGTGGAAGAGTGCTGAGACTTACACGGGCAGGTGACAGGTGGGGTACAGGTATGGCTTGGTGGAGGCCTGTTACAGGCATTGTGCACGAGCTGGACCCTGCTCTGTTGACCTGTTGAGGATCTTTCCCCATCATGTGAGGATGGGTCCTTAACTACTGCCAGTGTGCCAGGCCAGGGTATGGGGCCACAGGGATGGTAGGCAACTTGCTGCAGGTCACAAGTGAGGGTGAGGTCAAATTAGGAATGGAAGTTCTGCAACACGGCGGGCCGTGAGGTCTGACTTGTAACTGAGATGGGGCTGCCTGGTCTGCCCAGCAAGTTCTGCTCTTAACAATGCTGCTAGCCAGTATGTGGCTTCCCCAGCTGAGCCATATATTTGGCTTTGGTTCCGGGGAGGAGATGCTGTGTGAGGAAATATGACAGGCCCATCAGAAAAGCTGGACTCAGGAGACCCTCGCTGTTAGTTTAGTTCGGGGCAGCACAGCCCCATGGTAAGCCAGTGCGCAGCTTACTCTTGGGGGAACATATGCCTTTCCTTCCTTCCTCCTTCCCTTTGTTCCTTTCTAATTCTCTGGACTGAACCCAGAGTTTTTGCACTGAGCTACATCCCTAGCTCTTTTTTTTATTTTTCATTTTTTTTTATTTTAAGATAGGGCCTAAGCCACTAAATTGCCCAGGTTGAGTTGGACTCACAATCCTGCCTCAGCCTCCCAGCGTGCTGGGATTACAGGCACCCCTTATAACAGAGATTAGCCTAAAGTAGTGGGGACTAGGTAAAGGAATATGGCTCACCAGGTTGAAAGCTAGTTCAAGCAGCTTGTTAAGCTTAAAAGTGTAAAACACAACCCAAGAACAAAAGATAAAAGTTAAAATAAGAGGAGGAGATAAGGACCTATCCTTTCTTCGGGTATGAACTGAAAGCTTTTGTCTTATTATTTCTAATAAGCACTCTCTGAACTTTCTTTCTTTCTTTTTTTTTAACTTTCTCTTTTTGTCTGTGATTTTATTTTTCACTTTAGTAAGACAAAAACTCAGACTGAGCTCAAAGCTGGCCTGAACTGCATAGTGAGACCCTGTCTCAAAAAGATAAACAAAACAAACCTCAGATTTAGGGTAGGCATGGTGGTATATGCTTGTAACCCCAGCACTTGAGAGGCTGAGGCAGGGAGATCTTCGTGAGTTGGAGGCCAGCCTGGGCTACATCGTGAGTTCAAGGCCAGCCTGAACTACATAGTGAGACTGTCTCAAAATCCAAACTAAATCAAACCTCAGATTTATATGAACTGTTTCCTCACCACCACACCATTATTTCTTTTTTTTCTCTTTTCCTCTTTCTGTTTGTCTTTCTCTGTGTCCCCTTACCCCACTTCTTCTGGTACTGGACATCAAACCCAGGGACACCCTACCACTGCATATTACAGACAAGGTCCCCCCAAATCACCAAGTTGTCCAGGCTCAAGCTCATAACCCTCCTGCCTCAGCTTCCCGAGTAGCTGGGATCACAGGCCTGTACTACCAGCTTCTTTTCTTTTTGATTCACCCTGTGGGCAGTTCCTGTTGGATTTGGTTATTAGGGGAATCTTGGGGAAGAGGTACCCAACTGTGCCCTGGGTGGGCTGTTCCCTCGATGCTGTTTCAGTTAGAAAGATTCTAGAATCTCAGTGGTCACTAACTACTGAGTGCCCCTTTTTCTGGAAGGTGACAGGTTCCCACCTCAGCCATGGCCAATTGCGACTAGGACCAAGGACTGAGAGGACATCATTCCTGGCCACTTCTGGGGACCCATGGGCAGCAGTGGTAACTGCCTCTCACACGCGGCAGCTCTCAACTGCAGTGTGGTTAGCAGAGTGAGGCCTAGCACTCATCCCAGACTGCAGGGCATGTCCATGTGAGCATCAAGATCAAAAGGGGGGCATGGACCAGCCACCCTGCCAATGAATGGAGGCATCTGAAGGAGCGGGGTGACGGGGTGAAGTGGACCGCAGTGGCCTCGCCTCAGACCAGGGGTGTTTATAACCTAAGGCCTCCACACAAGGCCCAAATGGGTAGCAGGACAGTGGGCAGCTGGGGAGCCAGCGGCGACAGCACCAAAGCCACTCACCTCCTCCTCCTCGAAGCCTGTGAGGTCCCAGCGGTAATTGAGCCGCATCTGTTTCCGCTTCCAGTGCTCCATGAAGGTGGCGGCTGTGGGTGGGAGGAGAACCAGTCAGGGGCAGCTGGATGCTAGCACAGCATCCTTTCTTTTGGCACCGCCAGGTGAGGAAGGGCCAGGGATCTGCACAGGCACTAACCATTCAGCCCTCCACAGACCCCACTAAGCAGTGACCGCAGCTCTCCCATTTCATAGATGAGGGAACTGAGGCAGGGGCGATCAAACTCTGGCTACGTCAGCAAGGGTTAGGGTAGGCAGGCCTCAGGGTCTTGATTGTTGTGTGCCATTGTTTTTAGGAACCCTAGGTTAGAGTAGGGATCTTGAGGTTAAAGTTGGTGGGGCTTTGAGGCCCACTGAGGCTGAGCCCACACAGGGGTCTCTGACTGCACCTGTGACTTCCCGCTTTTTGTTTTCAGCAGACAAAACAGCTCAAGGCCACCTCTGTCAACTTCTGGCTCAACCACAAAGTGTTCCCCCAAAGACTCATGTATGGAGGGCTTGAGCCCCCACGCAGCCTGTTCAGAGGTGCATCCTGGAGAGGGCCCTGGACCCTGGGGCACTAACCTCTCTGCAGGTTCATCTGTCGATGAGCTCAGAGCTGGGTGGGCTGTAAGGGCTGAGGCCCATCTGGAGGAAGGAGGTTGCTGGGTGTGCCTTTGAAGGGTCTCTCCTGTCTCTGCCTCAGCCTCACTAGTGCTTTCCTCCTGTCTCTGCTTCCTGCCTGCCAAGAGCTGAGCACGTTCCTCCACCACACCCTTCCACCATGACGCTCTACCTTGGAGCCAGGGCTATGCCATGAACCAAAAGAAACCCCTCTTCCTAAGGGTGTGTATGTCAGGGGTTCTGTTCCTGCAGTAAAAAGCTGACTATTCTATCCAGGAAGCCATAGATTATTCCCCTCAGAGTCAGAAGGAAACCAGCATGCCTCACAGCACCCACAATGGCTTGGACAAGCAGTGGCTTGAGCATTCTCCAAGCCTTCGCATGTTGCAGTTTAATCCCAATTGTGAGGAAGTAGAAGGGCAAAAATTTCATCCAACTCTGATGTTTGCAGGGAGGCCTCCAGGAGAGGATTAGGATTAGATGAGGTCCTTGGGGTGGATGGAGCTCCATGAGTGACTTGATGGCTCTTTGAGACAGACACATCAACGGACAGATACAGACATGTGTGCACTGCTGTCCCTCACCATGTGATGCCCTGCCCCACCTCAGGACTCTGCTGGCAAAAAGGGGGCACTGGATGCTGGCCTTCAACCTCAAACCTCTGGGGCCTTGAGCCAAAATGAAACTCTTTGTTTTATAAACTGATCCTGCCCCTGGCATTTCATCATAACCATGGAATATAAACTAATATAGCCCTCCACAGCTGCATCTGTCCTGGAGTCTCTGTCACCTTTTATTATGACCCTTGTCCTGTTTCCCCATTTTATAGAGATGAAAATTGGGGCTCAGAGGAATCAAGTGGCCTCTCTGATAAGCAATGATACCAGATAGAAATAAAGTGATACGTGCAAATGAACCTTCAATATGAATCCACAGACTGGGTCCTCAACCAGAGGCCACGTGTTCCAGGAAAGAACACGCTTTGGAATTGGCAGGGAGAGGCTCTGAACCTGGCATGCAGCTCCCAGAGCTTTGGCATGCACGGACACACCCGCTTCCCCATGCTCCTGCTCTTTTTCACAGTAAGGTGAGTACAGCGACTGCAAAGGGACCATTAATCCTGGGAACTGGCCACACAGACAGGAGGGCAGCTGAGAAACCAGGCAGGTGATGGTGAGACCCCCCCTCCACCCAGGGCTTAATAGCTAGAAGCCGGTGCCAGGGTGTGGGTGGTGACCGTGAGTGGAGGCTCGCAGAACCAGCATCTGGAGCTGCCCCTAAGGATCCAGAACATGGAAGGGCTTCCTGGAAGTAGCCAGAGGCAGGAAGGCAGTCCCAGAGCAAGCGGGATGCTCCAGGAAGGCGGGTGTGTCGGGGGGAGGGGGGCCCGGGCTGAAAGCCCAGGAAGTGGGAGCGCAGGCGCATGCTTTAGCTGTACACTGGGCCCCAAAGTCTCACGTGTTTGGAAGGTGGCTGGCTCTCGAGAGCTCTATTTTCACCAATAGATCCATCCGCCATTGAGCTCAGAGCTGAATGTACCGTGAGCAGGTGGGCCTGGTTGGAAGCGGTCCCCAGGGTGGGAGGTGTGTGACCAAAGCTGCGCTCTTTGTCCCAGGCCCTGCCCTCTCCCCTTGCTTCTGGAGGCCACAGTTGAGCAGCTCTCCTCCCCTCTGCCCTTCCACGGCGCCACTCCTGCCTTGGACTGAAGCTGTGAGCTAAAGTGAGTCTCTCCTCAAAGCTGGGGCATTGGGTCCCCTGTCCCAACAACAGAACAGGAAGCCTGGTGCAGAGCCGAGCAGGGGTGGGAAGGGCTGGACAGGGTGTGAAAACGCCCCAGTGTGGGTCTGGGCAAAAAATATTTTAGACAACAATGTAAAAGCACAGGTGACACAAAACCCAGAAAAATAGAATCGTGTTAAACTAAAAAGCTTCTGCACAGAAAAAACAAAAACAAAACACCCCAAACAATGAGTAGAGTGAAGACACAAACTACTGAGTGGGAGAAAATTGCTGTACACGACCCATCTGACAGGGGCCTGCTATCAAGAACACGAAGAATTCCAATAATTCCACAGGAAAAGAAATCTAATTGAAAAAACGGGCCGATGATCCGAAAGGACACGACTCAAAGGAAGACCCTGATAGAGGAAAGCTATCCGCAATCGTCAGGACACAGCAAGCCTGAAGCACAACGAGGTCTCACCTTAGTTCAGGAGAGGGGCGACTTTCCAAATGACAGTGACAAACGCGTGTGCGTGATGATATGGAGGGAGGGGACTAGGATACACTTTTGATGGCAATGGACACTAGCAGAGCCACTATGGACAACAGTATGGAGGTGCTTTAACAAAACTAAAGATATCTAGCATAGGCCCTCGCTGGCAACCCCAGCTCTGGGAATCTGCCCAAAGGAAAGGAAGTGGCACATCTCAGACACACCGCACAATTCACCAACGTGTGGAATGAACCAAGGTGTCAATCAGTGGACAAGTGGACAAAGAAAATGTGGTACTTTCTCGCATTGGAACACTAGCCAGCCAGAAAAAAGGATGAAGTGCTGTCATTTTTAGCAACATGGGCGGGCCTGGATATCGTGTGGACAGAATAAGTCCCGCATCATGTGCTCGTCTTATATGTGGAAGTTAAAAGAGCCAAGCTCGTAGAAGCCAACAGCAGGGCAGTGGTTGCATGGCAGGAGGAGGTGCAGGGACAAGACAGTTAATGCAATGAATTCTGCTGTGCCAGGACATGGACTGTCAACAATAGAGCAATTCAAAATTCCTAGAAGTTGGGGCCAGGGAGATGGCTCAGTGGAATAAGCGCTTCCCTGGCAAGTGCAAGGGCCTGAGTTCAATCCCCGGTTCCACCAAAAAAAAAAAA